TTATTCATGTATTTATGTGTGTTTGCATGTAGTAATGTGAGTTTGAGTTTTAACGTAGGTGTTTACGGAAATTCTGAAGCTGTCTATAGCTCCACGGAGCATCATGCGAATAAACAAACATGAGGAATGGAGCCAGATTATTTCGCCAGTTTTCATTTTCTTCATTCACTTCAACATCAGTTGCCCTGGGAATTGCAGCAGAATGATAACTTATTGAGTACCAGTGTCTGTAAGGTTAAAATAAGAAAGAATATCTGGTTTCCGATCCAATATTTTCCCAGAAGTTGTTTATTCTAGTTATGTCGACCTCGGGGTATGTGAGTGTGTCTGTCTATGTGTATGTGACTGTATGTACCTGTATGTGTTCGCATATGTACGAAACTAGCGGTGATGGCTCAAAGTAATTAGGACAGCAAAAGTAACGTATGTTCTCGGCCATCAAGGCTTGATGATCGCCATCACCCCTTCTCAATACATATGTTTTAAGTAATATAGAAAAAAAGATGGTTCACTTAAATGACTCAAACATACAGACTTTTAGTGCAGTATCCCACAGAGAGTCTTAAGGCCAAACATAGGGAATCGCTTAAAGTTTGTGTAAGCAAAGCAGAATCGAGAGGGATTACTGCGGCGACAGCATCAACAAAAATGTTCTAGCAAAGCCAATCGACAGGTGATCAACAGGAATCCTCCGTCGTCTTCTGGTGGAGACGACCTTTGAATCTCTTCACCAAACATTTTCACTCGAAATGTAAGTAAGCTCAACAATTATGAATCAAGCGATTCCTCGACTCTGACGAGGTCGAATCTGCAGGCTACCCTGAATAAGAAAACCTTCTGAGAAGCAAAGCTATGTGAAATTTAATGAAAACATATATTCAATTAATTGTGGGAAAATTCAACTATCAGTCCTTTATTATCCTAAACGAAATAAAGTGAACCCATCTTATATACATAGGAATTATAGCAAAGGTGGGTTTTAGAGTACTCTCTTGGATTTCAATTGTTGGGTTCACCTCTCTTCCGTGTAAAAGTGTTCGAAGCTCGCTGCCACCAGAACAAATGGTGGGTTCCTAGCTAACGAGTTAGGCAGACAACTGCTATATGCATATCAATCCTATGAATTTGTGTGAAATACGGTGTGATTTGGCTGTACGATGTCATATGTCCTTTTATCATGTGCGTGTGAGTGTGAGTGTAGACTTACTAATCCAAATGATGGCTCGTAATTATCTGGCTTCATTAATCCGATTTATTAATTGTGAATACATCTGGTTAAGCTGATTAAGGTTTACTATGGACGCAGTGTGACTTTACTTGTGATCAAGCCATTCAACTTCCCCTCCATCCTTTGCCGTACCAATTCCAAACTCTATTCCCCATTTGTCAGCCAAACGGCAATTTTGAGATTATAATACCTTACTTTGGCTTCCTACACTTACGTACGCACGAGCACAAATGCGCCCTTTCCCCCACAAACATACATACGCAGGTGTGTAGACTGGCTGAGTCTTCTTGACATGTTGGCTTGTTGCTCTGCTCTCATCAAATCTGTCGACATCTCGGCACCTTTTTACCGGAACCGAAGGAGGAGGAGGGCTTAAGTACAGCAAAACTACTCTTGATTAGCGCAACCCTGCCGCTATTTTTTAGAATGGCAGTGAGCTCAGCAAGTACAGATCAAGAGACTCATCGTTTATTTCGTATCGAACAGTCCTGGCAACAACCATTTGGAACTACCACCATTTATATTGTATTCTTTTTCATTTTTGCGGTTGCATCTGATGCCGACGTTATGGGCTCCATCGTCCCGGTTACTAGGTTTGTTTTATGAACTCTACCACCCCTTTCGTTGGGTGTGGTCCACTTCGCAGGTGCAGTTACCGTTTTTTACGCCTCGGGTTGACAGTTTCGCTGACCTCGACGCCTACTCGGCTCGAGATCCCATCTCCCCGTTCAGACACGTCACGATCGTAGACCCAGCCTGAGGTGGATCGCGTCATCGCATCATCCTGTCATCCCGCCCGGCACCAAGCTGCACATGACCACTTTCAGGGCTCGTTTTGCCCGCCCTAACCACGATTAAGGTGGCATTCGAGTCTGGATACCGAAACACCTCTCGCCTCATGATGCCTCACTGATTGGGGCTGGAAGGCTGCATGCTCTGTACCCCGCAGCGGAGACGGCTGCTGGCACACCTTGCCCTCGGCAACTGTCTAGGCCTGCAGGCACGATATATATTTCCGCCTGTGGCCTACCCAACATGCCCTACACCTCACTTTGCTCTTCCCGTTCTCGCCTCGCTGGGGGCAGCAGCTCCGGTCGCCTTCTCGTCTGCCCGTCTGCAGGTCTGCCTGCCCTGCTTCGGCTTACCAGCCTCATGAACGGGTCGCCCTGGCAGCAGGGGGATTTGGCGGTCGGTCGGTAGGCCGACAGCCCTTCTTGGTGTACCGCCTGGGGGTTGGTTGGGGACGGTGGTGGTGATAGTAGAGTGGGAGGTGGGAGGTGTTAGTGTTGTGGGTGTTATGGTTGTTGTGGTTATTGCGGGTATTGTGGGTGGTGTGGGTGTCTCCGGGGCAGCAAAATCGAGTCCCTGGGGGCAAGGAGCAGACGCGTAAACGGAGGACATGAGAACTCCGCAATATTTGGCTGGTAAAGACGAGACTTGGACTTATGGTAGGGTTCCTCTGATCCGAGGTTCGACAGCTGAATTGACGGACGGATGGAGCTGGCTTGCGTGATGAAGTGGATTAACTGAAAATGGTACCCCATTTTAGCTTAACTTCTGGAAAGCATACTACTGATATGCCTCCTTGCATTAATGAGCGACTATATTTGCAAGGATAAATAATATAATAAATGTTGTGCTTAGAATTGATGTGCTTTTTATGTTGCTCAAATACTGTTATTTGGCAAAGCAGGACAGATGGAAATGTATACAAACCTGCTCGCCATTTCATCTGTCCATACATGCCAGACGAATAGGCAGACGTTAAAGCTTGGTGGCCGTGTGCATGTGTGT